CGCGACAACTACCGCGGGATCAGCCATCTAAGCATAGAAGCCTTAACAGTGTGGTATTTACAAGAAAAGGATCGACACTCACCATGTATTTGTCCATTCAAATCCGCTTGCGACAGCACTAAAAGGAGTTGCCTATATGCCGCGGCATCTGAATTTGGCATTCCCGCGAAACTACTACGGCCGTGTGAAATGACATTGAGCAATACCACCAGCTTTGTCAGAATTGGGAAAACTTTCTCCGAGCCGTTCGATACAAAACGAGGTTTCAGGCAAGGCGGCTCCGTTTCGTGCGATTTCTTGAATCTGATGTTGGCGAAAATAAGAGATACAGAACGGAACCGCTCAGTAATTGTTTACTACAAGAGCATGTAATTGCTGGCATTTGCCGATGGCACCGACACTATCGGTAACAGAAACCGCGAAGTCTGTTGATGATCTAAGACCACTGGCTTTGAACGGCGGAGTTGCTGTTTCAAGTCCGAGTGAACTCGATGAAGAAATCTGATGAGGAGCTCCGAGTGAACTCCGAAATAGCAGCTATAACTTCTACGATGTGTAAATTATTGTTGTCTTTCCTCAACATTTTTCATAAAAAATGGTCTCAAGAAGTTGTTCTAAAAGGGGTACCGCGCTAATAAAAAGGTAACGTAAAAAACAATCATAGCTCTAGGTTCCCTATGTTTTTTTTTTGCACTTTATACAGATTTTCCAAACCTCATCCCATTTTAGTTACAATTAAGTACTTTCTAACACAATTGACGAAAATAACTTCTAAAATTAAAAAAAAAAAATATATATGTGTTCAATAAAGTGAACTTGTAATTCTTAAACGCAATTTATTACACTTTCTTCACATACACAAATGCATGCTTGCATGTGTATGTTGTTTTATTTACTAATTAAAGCCTTTACGCTAATAAATAATACACTCTCTGTTCAATTACGATATATCTAAGTATAATTTCGTTGAATTTTCCTTAAACTATTCAATTCTTTTAATTGTTTTTTTTGTTGCAAATTCTAAATGCTAAACAACTCTGCAAGTTCACTAAATTTTATAAGTCTTTAGTTTGTGTATTTAATGCCTCAAATACAAGTTCTTTAACAACTACATATTTTCAAGAGCATCCGCATATTTACAATTAATTTTGTTATTATTATTATTTTTTTTTAGTATTCCATTGTTGTTAGTATTTGTTATTGACAACATTTTTTGTTTGTTCGTTTGTTTTTGTTTTAGTATTAGAGTGAACACAATATTATGAATGGCATAAAATGCTAAATTCAATACTAAATGCCCATTGTTATTAGTTTTTTAGTTAAAATAATTGAATTATTTATATACTTGCTTACATGTAATTGTGTCAATATATGCATGTGTTTGTGTGTGTGTATTTAGTAGCTCTGTTAGTTTTGAATTCGAATGGTCATGCGTAAAAAATGTTAGTAGCGTTTATGAAAATTATTTAATTAATTTGCTAATTAATTTGATTGCATTTGTTTTGAATAGTTGGCAGCTTTTGCTTCAGTTTCCGTTTCCGCTTCCGTTTTTATTTTATTTTTTTTTTTGATTTTCTTAGCATTGAATGTGGTTTGTATGTTTGTATGTGAATGCGTATGCAAATAATTAACAACGGACGGAACTGTACAAATAAATTTAAATGTTTCACTTAAACGGTTTTTGTTGAATGAAAACGAAAAAAATGTGCCTTGCGGGTGAAAAATATAAAATAAATTTTTATTTTAACTTGGTTTACAAAAATATTTGAGATAAACATAACTACACAACAGAAGTATATTTATGTACTTATTAAGTAGCGTTTATGTATTTGATTTTATGCGTTTTTCATAGACATGTTTATACATGTTTATATGTACGCATATTACGTATAATTGCGTTCATTTTCTAAAATCGTACGAGATAAATTTTTAAATGCTAGCCTTCTGCAAGGAAATGCTTTCCTTTGTCGAATATCTAATAATAGATGGATATTTATTTATGTACAAAGATATTTGTGTGTTTTTTTTTTCTTTAATTTTTGATTTAGCTAGTTTTTGATTACAATTTTGTCGCGTTTTCAAAGGAATTTTTGGGACAGGTTTATTATTTTTGTTTTACTCAACTGCTTCTTGTTTTCATGCGTATAAACGTTTTGTTTTTAGATTTTCGTCGAATTTCGTTGCTAAGCATCTGAAATATAATTATCTCGGCTTTTTTGTATGCTACTCAATAATTTTTTTAAGCACATTTACGTATGCCAAAAAATATGCAAACTATGTGAAAGTAGTGGAAACATTCGAGTGAAGTTTGATAGATTTTGAAAAAAAAAAACTTAAAGCATTCTAGTAAAGTAAAATTTTCGTTTTTTCATTTGAATTTGGAAAATTTGAGAAAATATGTACGTAAAACGAATTTTTCACATTGCATATTTTTAGGCATTCTTTCATTAAAAGTTTTTTTTTTTAGATATTTTTTTTTTAATTTTTAAATTTTTATTATTAATTTTTTTTAATACATACACACATTTGTGGCTATCCTTTTTAAACATCTTAACATTTTATGTAGCTTGATATCTTACATTGGTTCAACGTTTCTAGTGGGTCATCTCTGTTTTTTTTCGTTTCTCTTGCATGCAATGCTTTGTAATTTTTTTCGGTAATTAATATCTCCTCATAATTTTTGGAATCTGGTTTTAAAAAATTTCTTTCGTTTTTTGACATTTTACACATTTGGCATATTTTTAATTCATTATTAGGTGTTGCTTTAAAGTTAACTGTACAAACTAGCTTATTATTGATTTCTTGTATTCTTTTATGTTTTTTTTCTAATTTATGCTTACAAAATTTTTTTTTGTAGTTTTGTTTATTGAAAAAAATGCTTACTTACTAGCGCATAGTTCGTTGTGCTGACAAAGTTTTAAGCAAAATTAATTAAATGAGCAATAATGTATGAATTTATTTCTGCAGGGTACACGGAAGGCTTCGTCAAAAAATAAATCACTTTTAAGATTTAATTTATAAACGTCTGTACTCAGTAATTATAACAGTTTTCAAACTATTTACATAAGTTTTGAAACTAAATTTTTATGAAACGTTTGCAAATCCACTTCTAAGAAACCTAATTTCGATTTAGAAATATCAACTTCTGTGCAAAATATACAAATGGCTGCAAAGTTTTCTAAATCAAGCTCCAATATTTTGATTACAGTTAATAAGGATAGCTTATATACACATATACGTTTCGTAAGTAATTTTGTGGCGATAACATATTTTTGATTGCGCAATGTAGGTTTTGGGATTCTTAGTTTACTGACCCAAGCAAGTAAAGCGCATAACTGCAGTGGAGTTTTTATTGCGTTGTATAGCTTTTGGCGCTGGAAATTTCCAGTGTTTCTGCAGTTTTTATTAAGTTAAATGAAAGTTTCAGAAAATAAGGATAAGTGTAACAAATTCAATTAAAAGTAGCAGGGAAACAAATATCACCAAAGCAACCCGTTTAGTTTAATATATCGAGGAAGCTTTTCGGGAGTATTTGCCGCTCTACTCTTGGTCGAGTCATCACTATGCTTGGTGAACGCGATATACTAACTTCATTCGAAAGTTAATCGTGAATATGCTCCGTTTTCCCGTTACTTTAGGTTCCTTGCCGTGTTCTATCTTTTAATAAGACTATGTCGTCGATGTTTTTGCAAATCCGCCCATCGCCATCTTACGGCACTCAAATTTTACAGGAGAGCGAAAAAACGGTTTATTCTTTGAAGGCATTGCCTTGATAGGCGGTATTTTCTCTAGCTATTATGTTACATAACTGTTGTTTTAACAACGATTTAACGATTTGTATGCATAAACCTCGATGCCTAGAGTTCAGGGTTACCAAATCTCATTTTTGCCACAACGGCGATTTAGGCGGTTTTGCAGCTGGTCGATGGGCGGTTTTGCTAAAACATCGACGATATACATTTTGGCTGGTATGTATACGAATATTCAGCAGTATTATCTCAGACATTAGAAGTGTGGTGTCGAATAGGTGTAGCAATCAGACTATTGGCTTCTTAGCCACACAATGTTATTTAAGGTGGCTCTTTCGCATAATCGTCCGTCTTATGCTTTGCTATTTGGTGGCAAAGCCAATGTAAAAAACTCAAAAATTTGGTCTTTTCCTCGGTTATAGGGTTAGTGGGAACCTCAAGGTTCGAGTCTTTTACATATGTATGACTTTTTGACTTGTAAACAACACAGTCGAGAGATTTTTCAATTCTGCCATTATAAATCTTGAAAAAGTTTTGAATAATCGGTTTATAGATAGAAAAGGAAAGGATTCTCAGAGAGGCAATGGGTTAGTCAGCCATATTTAAAAGTATGATGACGTTGAGCACCGTACTGGGCTTCTTAGATCTGCAGCCAAATGTCGACTAAGTAGCAGGCGAGAGATGAATCTTAAGCTGCCATTGTGAGATTGGCAGTATTCTGTTTGAGGTCGAGAAATTTAATTTCTGAATGAAGATGTAGATAATTTACGTAGAAATGGCATCAGGTCATAAAGATTTTTCTTTATATTTGTTGTTAGCTATCAATTTTTCTGCCTCGTGCCAAATCTATTGACTACTGAGTCGCGTAGTATTTAGCACGATGGTCTTCTGCAATAATGACACAACTCAAAATTTCTTGTTTTTTAACTCAAACAGGGCCAAAATGATATAAATGTAACTAAAGAACCAACATTGATACGAATGAAACCACTTTTGGGCATATTTATCATTTAAGGATTTGGAATGCAGTTAATTCTTGAAATAAATTTGTCAACCTAAAAATAAACGAGTTTTATGGCCAAGAGAATTGTTCACAGAGAATTGAGGATGTATGAATGGCATTCTAACTGCCACTATCGATTTTAAAATTATTTTTAAGAATTATATTTATGCTAGTCACTGCGGGTAATTGACGCTCCGCTTTCCAGCGACTCCTGCCGTAGAAAGCCATTTTTTCTTCAATTCCTTTTAATTCTCTTTTCTTTTTTCAAATCACCCTAGATTTTGAATAATTTGCCATGGATTTATCAAATCGTTTAGCCAACCTGCTGACGATTCTATCAGTGGTTAATGTAATAAATGAATGATTTGACCTTTGACCTACTTATGGTTGGCATACCGTAAAATTTAAGTATTATTAAGGCCACTGTAATCAGTGTAATTGCCGGCGTACAGTAAGTGATCAATTAAACTATAAATGTAAGGGAAAGAGGCATAGCTGGTTCTGACTAGTCTTGCTACCTTAATTAGTGAAATTGTATTCATAATCGATGGAAATATTACTGGCTTGGATAGAGCGTTCTATAATCACAAATCAATGCTGTGATGAAGGTGTTGCACATTGAAGTGATGCAAGAATCACATACGCCATTTTGATAAAATCAATTAAATTTAGTCAACTAAAAAATTGCAGAAATGCCATAAATGTACACAAATTATTCAATTTTGATTTAAAAAAATTTTAATACTTAGTTTAGAGATCTCCATTGCAGTTATTGGCTTATTGCTTTAAACAAATCTACATTTTTCGATTTTTAACTTTTGCGTACAAATTCTTTATACACAAAAACTGAAATTTCAATTTTTCTTAAAACAAAGCGCTAACCAAATTTGATCAAAATTAAAATAGCGATATTTTCAAACCCATTAAACACTAAATAAACGTTGACCGTTACCAACAACACTACACGAACACTTCTGCCACATCGACGTCATGCAACATTACGTGCTGCGTTCACAGGCCAAACGCTGCGATACCAGCGCCGTCAACAAAGCGTAACCGCATGCAACCAAAGTAAGCGTCTGCCAACTAACAGCTCCTCGCCGATGCGCTGCGCCAGATGGGTGCGGCTGTGTCTGGCGATTGTAGGGATTCTGGTTCTGATATTGCGGTGGTGGTTTGTTGTACATATTCGCATTTTGATAGCCTACATTGCTGTTGCCATAGTAGCCGCTAGGTGGCGCCAAACCGCCGCCACTGCCGCCCAATATGCCATTACTGCCTCCTGGTGGGCCACCAGTGCCGCCTGGCATCGAATAGTATGGCTGTTGGCCGAATACGAAGCTCGGACTGTAGGGGTTCACCGGCTGCAGACTGCCTGGATAGCCGGGGTTCAGCACACTACCTGGATGATTAGGTTGGGGAAATTGTTGAAATGAGGGTGCTTGTGTGGGTGAATTATAGGGGAAAATGGGCAGATTGGGCAGGACTGGCACCGACTGGGGCGCACCGAACACATAATGGGGATCAATGCCGCCGGTGCCGCCGTTCGGTCGTAGCTTTTGTGCGCTGCCGGGCGAGTCGTTGCCGCCGTCATCGTGACCATTGTTGCCATAATTTGAATTCACATTGTTGCTATTTTTATTCGCATAGCCGTTAATGTTGTTAATACCGCCACCGGGTGATGAGTTGCTGCCAGTGGCGGACGATGATGAGCCGCCGCCATTGCTGCTGTAGTATGTGTGGGTGTTAAGCGTTGGATTGGATGAGGCGGATGAGAAGATGGCGTGCTCGGGACCAGGCTTGTAACTGGATCCTGAGCCGAGTGAAAGTGGAGTGTAGATGGTTAGAGGATGCAGAAGTTAGATGATTTTTTTTTTTTTTTATTGACATTTTTGATGCGTTTGTTATGCCGACAGCCAAAGTGTTAGAAAGAGGAAGAGAATTAAGAGTTATGCATTTGTTATTTCAGAGCAATGGGAGCGAAAAGGAGTAGGTTATATGTTGATAATTGTTAATTGATCTACATTAGATGCCAACAAGAGAGTATATTTAAAACATGCGTGGATTTCAATTTTCATACTACGGTTTACGTACAAATAACAACAACAAATGCAGTGCACAATTAAGGGTCTGTCAGCTACCACGACGACTTTTAGTTTACGTTTCAAGCTTAATGATTAATGATTTAAATGATTGGGTAGTGACTGAAGCAAACAATAATTAGCAAAATCAATAAAGAACAAGAATGATTATAAATACGAGTATCTTTACAACAAAGCAACATAAAAAAGTTAAATTAAATTTGAATTTTTATTGCGAATGGTTTTGTTATTTTGAATTTGCGTCGTTATCATGATTTTCATGTATTTAGATGTGTGTGTGATGTATCTCCCATTTTTGCGATGTTATTTGCAAGCGTTGTGAGGCCAATTCGTGAACTTATTCAATGCTATTCACTTCAAGCGGCAGTTTTGATCTTACTTGTGAGTGTTTTGCAAGAACTTTGTCGAAATCCTACTAAATGCTAGTCAAGCTTCTAATTTTAACGTAAAAATATAAATAAATAAATTTTGATTGATGCATTTTTTGGGAATTAGAATTGTAAGGTTCTATGCTCAAACACAAATTTAAATTGGATGTCATAAGAGCTGTGGAGTCAATGTTAAAGAGTCTCAAAGACCTTCAATCTGTTGTATGCTTCTCAAAATATCTTTGAAAAATATAACCTACACTGGAGCATTTGGCAATAAATTACTACGTTGATTATATGGGTGGCTAAATGAAGGAGGCTTGCTTCAGTGGGTTTAATCGATGCCTTGGATGGGTGAAGAATGTATACACAAAGTTGCAGCGTTTAATTTTCAATAAAAATTTTCAGATTAGTCAATAATTCTCTTCAATTTGGATGGTAAACTTTAACTTGATTCCGGATAAGCTATTTTGAATCCTATTTCCGCCCATCATACGTTTATTTATTTATTTATTGGCGATGGCCTGCCAAAGAGGTTTTGGGTTTCGTTGACAGTTCCCCCAGTTTGGTAATTCTCTTTCAGAGCGCTTCCTTTATCGCCCTAGGGTAGGTCCTATCCCAAGGAAGGGCTCATGCCTTATTAGAATCAAGGCAGTAGCCATCTAACTACTCCAGTATAATTCCAGAATACTTCACTTCTGTGAATTATTTTCCTGGTAAAAAGGACGATGGCTGCCTTAGAAGGATTAATATTAAGACCCAAATCAACACACCACCGTTTTGCTGCATTAAGTCCATTTTTAACGATGTCGCAGAGTGAACTCCGGCTGTTCAAAATGGGGTCCTTTGAACATAGCTCAATCTTAACCCATAGCAAATAAATTTACGAACTACAAGGTGTCAAGACAGGATTTTGGCATAGATGTACATGTGTGGCTTCCATCTTGGTATCTACTTTACGGGTTCAGGATGATGTGATTACACTATGCAAAGGTAAGAATCTAACAATATTATCCAATACTATCTAACTATTAAAAAAGCTTTAGTAGTACTAAATGGAAAACTCGAACCTGCACCGTTAATGGGTATTCACCGAACTCCATGTTGGAGTGACATCGCTAAGCCTTCAGGAAGGGGTTTCCTGTCTGTAATTCTTCGAATTTAAATTGTTAATATGACATTTGGGTGTGGTCAGAAACGATTCCTTTGCTTACGGCTGGTATGCTGATGATGACCGCTGCATTGTGCTGAATTGATTGGCAAAAAAGTGTGATTCTATCAATTTGAGTGTCAAGCCTTCCCTCATGAAGTTCGCGATCTTAATGGTTCATACTCTCGCTAACTTTGAACAATAAGAACGGTTGGACTCACTTAATCTGCCCTTTTTTGCTTGGGTTTGAGCTAAAACTTTGAGTGGTGGCTATGAGTGAATGCCCTATAATGCCTCCCTCTAAATTATCTTCAATTTGCATACAACTCTTTGAGAAACTCATTTAAGACGAAGGTTAATTTTTGATTTGAGTTTTTCTAATTCCCAAAAAATTAAACACCAAAAATAGTCGAAACTAAATAGCTCTTACTGTTGCCTTACGAGTACTAAAACTAAAGTTTTAATCAAAAAAAAAAAAAAAACCAAATCAAATTAAATTAAAAAATATAATCACCTGACGGATTAACTGGCGCCGACGACGACGAGCTGGAGCCAGGTTTCCTCTGACATTTCGGATAGTTGCCGCAGTCCTTGCCTTCGCGCTGAGTGTAGCTGCACGAATCGCTGGTGATGACACACTCCTCGCTGGGCAGACAGCCAATGTCGTTGCAGCCACGTCCATATTCTGCAGTGGCGCAAATGGCGCAAATGGCGCGACGACAATGCGGACGGGTAGGCGTGCGTTTTTCGTTGTTGTTGTTGTTGTTGTTGTTGTGGTGATTGTTGATTTGATAATGTTTTTGTAGGACAAAAATAAAATTCATACAATAAAGAAGTATAGAAAAGTAAATAAGTAAAAGCAAGAATACAATCGTAGGAGAACATAAGAATGGAGTAGGGGGGAAAAAAAACAAAAACAAAAGAGATAAGTATTTGAGTGTAAACGAAAGGAATGACGAATGAAATGGAATGAAAGACATTCATATTTGTGTGCCAGTGTTTTCCGTTTATGGCTTGGGTGGGGGGTGGCGGGTGGGTGCTGTGTGAATGGGCTGATAATAAATAATGTTATGACATGTTGACAACACTGGCACGGGTGAAAATTACTCAAATATTTACAAAATGTTGCGGAAATTGATGAAAAAGTGAAAATGCGTGAAATATGCGCTCGCCGTTGGTATGGGTGTGTCAGTGTGTGGTGTGTGCTTGGCGAAAATGAATTGGTATTGTATTGGTGTGCGCGTGACCGGAAGTGTAATGGAAAATATGCTCGAGTGCTGAGTGAGGGGTTTGGTGTGAATTTTCCACTTGAATGTTTACATAAAGTAGAAAAGGTTTTGGGATTTCAGTCAGAAGTCGAAAGTTGTTGGTGATTTGAACATTTAAGTGAAGATGATGCTGGTGAGTTATGCAAAACTGTAAACTCCTTAAACGGTCATTTAAAATTCGTTACTTTTTTGTGGTTGGTGAAAGAGAACATAGAAACATTCCGCAACGAAGGAATGCAACGCGGAGGCAAGAAGCAAACAAATTCGTTTATGGAAATTTAAAAATTTAAAATGTCATGATTTTTTTTATTTATTTTATTTTAACGGGTGATTTTTTTGAGGTTAGGATTTTCATGCATTAGTATTTGACAGATCACGTGGGATTTCAGACATGGTGTCAAAGAGAAAGATGCTCAGTATGCTTTGACATTTCATCATGAATAGACTTACTAACGAGCAACGCTTGCAAATCATTGAATTTTATTACCTAGAAAAGTTGGCAGAAAATCCGCTTTTTTATCGACAAATTTTGTTCAGCGATGAGGCTCATTTCTGGTTGAATGGCTTCGTAAATAAGCAAAATTGCCGCATTTGGAGTGAAGAGCAACCAGAAGCCGTTCAAGAACTGCCCATGCATCCCGAAAAATGCACTGTTTGGTGTGGTTTGTACGCTGGTGGAATCATTGGACCGTATTTTTTTCAAAGATGCTGTTGGACGCAACGTTACGGTGAATGGCGATCGCTATCGTTCGATGCTAACAAACTTTTTGTTGCCAAAAATGGAAGAACTGAACTTGGTTGACATGTGGTTTCAACAAGATGGCGCTACATGCCACACAGCTCGCGATTCTATGGCCATTTTGAGGGAAAACTTCGGAGAACAATTCATCTCAAGAAATGGACCGGTAAGTTGGCCACCAAGATCATGCGATTTGACGCCTTTAGACTATTTTTTGTGGGGCTACGTCAAGTCTAAAGTCTACAGAAATAAGCCAGCAACTATTCCAGCTTTGGAAGACAACATTTCCGAAGAAATTCGGGCTATTCCGGCCGAAATGCTCGAAAAAGTTGCCCAAAATTGGACTTTCCGAATGGACCACCTAAGACGCAGCCGCGGTCAACATTTAAATGAAATTATCTTCAAAAAGTAAATGTCATGGACCAATCTAACGTTTCAAATAAAGAACCGATGAGATTTTGCAAATTTTATGCGTTTTTTTTAAAAAAAAAGGTATCAAGCTCTTAAAAAATCACCCGTTATTTATCACTAATGCAATTTAAGTTGACATTACTTTGGACACTCTTAATTTTTTTTAATTAAAAAAAATTTGCTTAGATACCATTACCATATTTTTTCAGAACCGATTTCAAATAAGTGTGTGAAATTCAGAAACGATGTTTTGTTTTTTGTTTTTTTATTATACAACATTTTCTCAACACTCGATTTCTGCTTCTTTCTCTCGCGCTGCATTCAACAAAAAAAAATTTTTTTTTTGAAATTTTAAGAAATCCAGTTAGACGGGAAAAACTTTCAAATAACTGTGATGTAATGAAATAAGTAGTTACTCAACAATACTAAACTGAAACGAACACTTAGCGACTCATAAATGATTGTTCTTGTACATACTTGAAAAGGAGTTAACACTGCTGAAGATGCACAGCAGCAATATGGCGCTGGCAGCACTACCAGCGGTGCCTATACTCGGCCACATGTTCGCCTACGTATCCTCCAAGTCGTCGTCCTTTGCTTCCTATTTCTGGCTGGTTTCGCCTCCTCCGCTCTTCAAATGCTCGACCACTTAACGCTCTGCTGCTTTTGTGCTGGCTTTGACTTATTACTGCGGCTTCAATATATTTTATCAAAAAAAAAAACACCGCTTGGCTGCTCCTTGCCTTCAGAAGAAACAATATTTGTTTTCCACACTATCGACAACACACAAGAAAGCAATATTGCCGGCTTTTAGGCGTTAGAGATGCGGGAATTCTGCAAAAAAAGAGAGAGATCACATTTGTGTAAAATTAGACGCAATGAAATATGAGCATCAACCAACAAAGAAATTGAAAAATAAAAAAAAAAACTATTTGAATGAAATTGTCTAAAGTTCTATAAAATATGTATGTGGCGGTGTGTGGGGCAAAAAGCATTTCGGCAAATATAATGAAACTCTTGTCTGCGTTATTTGTTTGCCAAAACTACAGTTCTTTTTGTTGTTGGTGCATATGTCTCCAGTTTGATAAATATTTGTTGATGTCGAATGCGGATGGTTTTCTTTGCTTGCTCATATTGGTATGACACTTTGATACGCTTTATTTACGATTGCGGCATTGCGACAGAGTAAATGAAAAAATAAAAAAAAAAACGGCGTTCATTCTGGAATTTCGAAAGCCTCTATTTACAAGTTGTATTAATGCAGCAAATGTCAAATTGGACTTTGTTTGATTGCGTTTCAGCTTTGGCGGAAGGACGCAAATATTTTATATTGTATTTATAGCATTTACTTACATACATATATACATTAGGGCGAATTTTTTTGCGATTATGGCTTTTTTCACTCCTACCTCAAAATTTTGTGGAAAAAATGGTGATGCGTTTTCTTTAGAATTGAATGCTCTATAAAAGTATCCATTGCGGTGTAATCCTAACTCCCACCGGCGAGGCAGTACGGGTGACCCAATTTTTCATGAAGTTCTCGTTTCTTTGCCCCTATCTCGAAAAAACAAGAGCTACAACAAAGATATGAACGGCAAAAAGTGTCAACGCAATGACACAGAGTTTAAACCATTAATTACTTTGCAATAATTTGATTTTAGGAGAACACTACTTTAATTTTATAAATTTACAGTTCGAAATGTGCTCGTGATAAATTGTGAATTAAATATTGTATATGTATATAAAAATTTTATAAATGTTATAAAATTTTATTAATAAAATTTTAAGTTACATATAGTGACAAACAAAAGTATTGGCACAGAGAATTTTTCGCAATGTATGCAAAGTTTTTTATTCTTATTTCTTTTCGCAATTTTTTTTTTTTATAAAAACATGGTTCACACCGCAATAAAAACATAAAAATAAAACCTCTAAACTTAGTTCAAAACCCAGGAAGATTGAACAACTTTGCATACTAATTTGGAAATTTCTCATCAGATTTTTTGTAGAAAATTTCTAAGTATGTAATTTTATATCCAATTTTATTTTTGAACAACTTAGTGGAAGTTTGAAGTTACTAAAACATCGCGCTGATTTTAGGACTCTGTTATAATTTTCTTCTATGCAAAAAACAACAAATTTTGAACGTACATATGTACATACTTTGTATGAAAGTAACTGAGCGCAAAAATAGTCAAAAACTAAAGCGATTTTTAGCAACTTCAAACTTGCATTTGAATGGGCTATAAAAACTGCATACTCAGCATTTTTCTAAAAAAAATCTGATTAGAAATTTGCAAATTAGTAAGAACATTTTTTGAATTTTCCTGACTTTAGCACAAAGTTAAGAGATTTTATTTTTATATTTTTTTTGTTGTAGTGTGAACTATATCTTTGTAAGAAATTAGCGAAAAGGAATTAAAAGAAAAAACCTCTGCGTATATTGCGAATAATTCACAGTGCCAGCTTACAAAAATGGTGCTGGGCTTGTTTTAAGAGTGATGTTTGGAAATATGTGACAAAAAGAGTATATTTTATTCGAAATGAAAAAAAATACAGAACTTGAAAATTAAAAAAAAAAATTTATTTAAGTACAATTTTTTTAACATAAACAAAGTTTTTCATAGTCCTTCACATTAAAAAATAAACACTTTGAAAATTTAAGCATCTTTTCAGATTTGGTATTGTACAAAAAAATAAGCCAAAAAGGTTTACAAGTTTTTGCTTTACGTTTTTTTTTTCAATTTGAAAATTCTGTAATTTTTTTTATTCTTAGATTTTTTGTATAAATATATCTATAAATATACATATTCTTTTTATAGCCTTCATCATAACATCTTTAAAATGAGAACATAACTATTTTTGTAAGATTTTCAAAAAATAAAAATAAACTTGCAAAATCCGGGAAGTTGTTAAATTTAGTATTTTGCATAACTTGGGAAAATAAGTGCTGGCTTTTCCCTTTGGCAGAGCTTAGTTATATGATAAAGTAAAAGTTCTGACCAAAATTCAAGGAAATCAAAAATGGTCGATTCCAACCATTGTTCGATTTGGCATGGATTGTCCCATATCTAAATTTCTATTTGTATTAGTATTTCCTAGAATTATTCCACACTGTTTGTCCCAGTCAGCGACAGGCGGATGGGATTAACGGTTTGGGGGTTTAAACCTAGCATAGTTATTTGTTTCTACTTGCTCATAAAATTAAGAAGATACAGAAATATGAATCTATGAATTAGAGCTCATCTTCCGCCACCAATCCCGGCTGGTTTTATTTCCCACAACCAACAAAATGTGAGCTCACACATTTCTTTGCCAGTTAGAAAATGTGGTTAGACAACAGCTGCTGTGCAACTGAATATAGCCTGAAGACGCAAACGAGATTTGAGGCAATTTTCTTGGCTTATTTGCATCCACATTCGTCGTCGGCGTAGTTGCTGTTGCTACTTTAGCTGCTGCTGACAGAAAGCGGATGCAAACTCTTCTACAATTTCACAATGTCATTTCGGCTTCAAGGCTTTTGAATTTTTTGGAGAATGTGTTTAGATATTTACTAGTTTTGTCTTTGTTTCCCGTACCGCTTCGCTGGGCTTGGCATCAGGGCGCATACATACATAAGCAGCTAGCAAGCACTAACATAACAAATTTGTGGTTGCCAAAAAATGCGAACGGTACTGGAAGTATTTTGCTACTAAAGCAGTTAAATGTGGGATGTGAATTTGCATTTTGTTTATTTTTGGCTTGAATTTTTAGTGCAAATGCAACGCTTTCGTAGGAGTAGGCAAACTAGCGACATGAATTCTGTGGGTTCTTTAATGGTCTAACTTGAACCACCATTGGGAGTATCTGTGCATCTGTGCATCAAATGTGGATTTTAAAGTTCAAAACTTCTGCAACAGGAAATCTGTAAACCTTTCTATCAAAGTGTGAAATTCGCACTCTCACCAAAGTAATTTCAAAATAAAATTACTATGCAGTGGAAATACTTTCTACAAATTAGAAGCATTACAAAAGCGAATCGGAACGATTTGTCAGTCGAGTAGAATTGAGCTACGGCAAACTCTTCAAGATACGAGCACTTAATTAAAAACATTGCGACATTTCTCTGCCGCTGTCCTTTCGCTTCCTTTCTTCGCTCGGTTAATAACGAAATTTTCGTTCCCCATTCAAGCGAGAGCAGTAAAAGAGTTACGAGTATTTGTCAGCGGCGCCCAGTAGCTACTCGACAATGACGAATACTCAACAAAAGCTGGGAATAATAGTTTTGTTTCGCCTCACACCTTACTTGCTAGATCGCTTTGTTATTGCAGCTGCATTTCTAGTTGTCCTTCCCGGCTGCACTTTGATAACTTTAAAATTTGTCTTCAGTTTGGGCTATTTATCTTTGCCAAGTTTTTTTCATAACGACTTTTACTTCTGTACCGGCATGAGGTAGTAGGTAGGGAGGCGAAGTGTTCGCTGTGCCACGGAAGTTCGAAGCAAGCAGCGTTCGTTACGCTACTTATTTATGTATGTACGTGCTACTGGTGCAACGGGAGATACGAGTAATTTTGAAAGGAAAATCGAAAGTAGTTAGCTTTTTTGGACAAACGTGATTTGCGGTTTTTTCTTACATTAGCCATGACTCTCAAACGAGTGCCTCGAAACTGACTGATAAAGCAAATTCGAATTTATGTAAATTGGTCCAAGAGCGACGAGAGTACATTCCAGCCCTAGTTCGGATGAGGCATATGTGCTTTGGAGCTAAACCCAACAGGTCTCCTTGTTTCACAAAAGCGACGCTCCACCTGGGTAAGCTTCAGAGACTCTACTAAGCGACGATGAATCATGGGCCGATCTGAATTACTTTCTTCACAATAGTGAGGCACATAGAAATTTTCGAAAGATCATATGAACCAGTGGTCAGTTTTTGGAGATGATATGGTATGGCAGGAGAAGACGCAACGGCGATTGCTGATGATTTTCATAAAAAGAGTTAATGTGAAGTGAATCTCTTTATTCATATACGGCAAGTAGCAGACCAAATTAGTTGATGCATATTTACGGTGGCCATATTAACCAACGTAAAATAAAGGACATTTTTTTCAAAATGATTTGGGAATACATACATACTACTTGTATGATAAAAGTACCTTACCCATATCGTAATTTAAATAAAATATTTACCAGTTAATTATATTACTTAATTGTACAAGTTCCCCTGCTGTAGCGAAAAATGAAGCAGAATCCTTTTCAAGGACTTCGCCATCCTTTGCTACCAGAATGCGTTTACCATATTTCATACTGCACGACGAAGCCAGCAAATAATGGTTCAAAATTGGAACTTAATGTTCATAATTCACCGGAGCCTTCATTTCTCAAGCAATTTTTACTAAAAACCAAAAAAAAATATTTATTTTGGTTAACATTTTTTATAACATTTGATTTTTTTTGAATTTTTTCGTTTTGGGAGAACCATACAATAAATTTCAACTAGTTTTTTTTATGTAACTGGAGCAGGATAATACATTTTCTTCAAAATTGCTACTTTTTCTGCACTCTGCACTAAAAAATTTAATATAATCAAATAAAAATTCACACATCAGGCTCAACAGGTCTCTTGCAAATATTGTAATCTTTCATAAAAAAAAATAAAAATTAATCAAATTAAGTGAAAAATGAAGGCTACAGTGAATTACGAACAATAAATGCCAGTTTGAACCACTGTGCAGCAGGGGCTTCATTGCTTTCTTTCATTGGAACTGGAAACTGAGCGCGCAACACGATCCTGATTTATACATTGCAAAAAGTTACCGATTAAATAGAAACCCCTAATTAGGGCGAAGATTTTCATT